CCCCAAAACCCCAAAACCCCAAAACCCCTAGTTATACATCTCAAATTGACACTGAATTATAGCTTTAGAGAGATTACAGCACATGCGAAATACTTGAGAAATATCTCAATATACTTGTGGTCATTGTTACATTTCCTATAATCTAGCTCTGTAATGGTTTTATCAGAGTTTAGATCAAGCAGTGCCTGAGGATACGCAAATTGAAGGACTCCTATCACCTTACTTGAACTCCCGAATTTTATTGGCATTGATACTAAAGGAAATGATGTATCAAGATCTAAAGATTATTGACATAGATACCAAAGAGTGGGTCATAAAATTCACTTCTCTCCGGAAGCAAAGGTCCAAAAAGTCTTAATTTCTTTATAGTCTGGCCTACTATGCCACATTCAATAGATTTCTCCTTTGAATAGTAGCCAGACCTATTTTCTTTATGGTAAGTTACTAGCTTTGTACTGTTATGATTCAGCAAATGAATCAACACATTTTCATTATTTTGTCATATTTCTGAAGATATCTTGAGAAGTTATAACAAGTCCACCCAAGTCAAAGGATAAGAACAATCGGTATCAGCTTTCAATGAGTGTAATAGATTTATTTTCAATAGTCTCTACTTTATCCTTCTTGTGATATATAGAAATTACTCCTGCAAGAAACTTTGCAGTTAGAGTAGCAATGGATTTCTCATCTTCATTGAAACCTTGGAACTTGATCTTGTTAAATAGACCCAGAACTCCAAGAGTCTCTTTGGTGTTCAAGTCAATGATGGGAACGAGATAGCCATTAATAACCTTTCTGATAATAATATCGCCATAGATGGGGTAGTCATCATACTCTAAACATTAATTTGAGTAAGGATGTACCTCTAGATTTGCTCAAATTTATCTCAACTCTCTTTTTAAAACATTCCCCTATCTTGTGAGTACTCTCAGGGGCATAATATTTTTTAGTATTATAATCCTTTCCTTGAGAGAAAACAAAGCTGTTAGGGTTTATCCTATTTCACAAGTTTAAAAAAGGTTAGCTAAAAAGAGCCAGATTAAATGAGATGCAACAGTCCTGTTCATGAATAAGAAGAATGCAAAAAGATTGAAATCAATAATCTCACCTATTTTTCCAATCCAACAATCATAGGTGTCCTTTTAAATCTTTCGTAAATATGCACACTCTTTCACAGTCAAAGACTCTTTCAAGTTTCATTTCGTTTTCACAAACTATAGTAAAATTATCCCAAATTTAGGCAATAAATTAATTTTTTCAAAATTTTTAAATGTCAAATACAATCTAATATTCAAAGGTATCCAGCATAGCAAAGTTTGAAAGATAATTTTAAGATTATTAATAGCTGAGCTTACCTGCAGATTCAAGATCCTTCCTTGAAACGAACTCGATGAATGCGAGCAATGCTCCCATTGATCTCTTAATCCTTTTATTTTAACCGAAAATTCATCATACGGCTCGTTGCCAGCAGAAGTTCTGCTGCTGTACTGCTTTTGTTTTTAGTCCTCCAACTATAAGGAGAGAGGGTTTTCTTATTGCTTCTGCTTCGACTTCTTCTCTCAGAAGGGCTCAGTCTATTTTCTGATTTCTTATTGATACTAGCGTTTAAGAAGGTTATCTTAGTCTTTGCTTTCATTAATTTTATCCTTTTGTTCATTATCTTCTGTTCTCTGTTAGACTCTATCAAGCTATTGAAATTATCCTCCCGAGAAACAGTGTTGTTCTTGCATGAAGTTATGTCCACTTCAGAGCTTTTGTGAAAAGTGTTTACTGAGATACCCGTAATCTGTTTTTGAAAATCTTTTCTAATCGACCTTACCTACACAAAAATCACTTCTCTGCTTACCAGAGAGCTCTTCTTCCGCCTCACCGGAGGTTTTGCCTTTTTCTTCTTGCTCCTATTCCTCTGCTGTACCAAAAACTCCATCTCTTCCACTTTCTTCTCCAATGTCTGTATCTTCTATACTCAATAGCTCCTTTTTCCCCTCAAAACCTGCACATTCTGCACTAAGTATCCAACCCAAAAGCCCACATAGCTCAGGTTCCAGCCGGGCCTTAAGTCCCTTACATTTTACTTTGTCAGTGATGACTTTTTCCTGAAATCTTATGTTTTCTTTTAGTTTATTTAACTAAGGGTGAGAAGGGGCTTACTTAGTCGGTAAAGGTCCTCGTTTTTCTCTATGTTTTAATACATTATCAAAATTTCAAAAATCTATCTAAAATCCTATCTTCCCTCTCAACTTTTACTTACTGACTAGAGAATACACATCAACTATAAATTTCTGCTTAGGTGCCCCTTCCATTTTCTGTTTCTAAAATAATTCAATTAATTTCTTAAGAAATGCTAAACTTGCGTTTACAGATTTTTAAGAGTAAATAAGCAAGAGTGGTTACTCGGCAGCTAAATCTAGTAGAAAAATAAGTTTTAGTACAGATGATTGTGTACTATGAAAGCTAGTCAATGGAAACATGAAAATTGAAAAATGTACTTATGATTTAGCAGCAGAGTTAAGGAATTTAGCAGCCTCTCGTTTCTCTTTAAGCAATTTGTTGTAGACACTTTGTAAGTGTTTATTTCCCTTTTCAAGGCCTGAATAGATATCCCTGGATTCATAGCCCAGGATCTTCATCATTTCAACAATTGTTTTGTCCACGTTTAGAATGAACGGCTCTTGCTTTGTCTTTTCTTGTTTTGATAGCCTTTGCTTGTTAAACGCTATTAATGTGTCCTTATTTGCTCATTATAATACTTTCCTTTGATCCTGAATATGCATTAAATGTCTGTCGCTTAGATTCATTGTTTGGTCCATCAAAGCTGTTTACAAAGTTATTAATTTTCTGGTTATCCATCTTAATTTCCTTCCGAATATTTAGTCGTAGATTTTTGCTGTTATTAGAAGTAAATCTTAACTGAGTATTATTCTTTTCAATAGATTCTATTCTTTTCTTGAAATTTATTTGTACGTTGCTTTTAGAGTTCTTTTTGAACCCTTTGAATATATCAGGATCATTTAAAATAGGGCTTTTCGGATAAATTGAGCTATCCTCAGGTTCACCTTTCCCAAACTCTGCTGAATTTTTGAAATATGTCTTGATGTATTGAGTACTTCCCTTCAAGAAGCCTTTTAATTGTTGACTATAAGGACTTTTGTTTAACTGATAAGGACTTCCATTCAGTGTCTTCTTCCTAGGCTCACTTGCACATTTGTTTTCACTATTGATATTCCTTCTATTGCCACCATATATTTTCTTATATTTCTCAATAGTGCCCATGATGATGTTCTTCTTGGACCCCTGAGGAGATGTATCAGGCTCTTCCTTATTTTCTGTAAACCATGGGTCCTTTAAAAGTGCTTTAGTGCTTTTCCTATACCCAGGGTCTATCTGAAGCATACTTAGTAGGATATTCTTTGCTTCCAGAGTGATTCCTTCAGGGACTGCAAACAATCCCTTACGTATTTTACTGTATAAATCCTTATCTTTTTGAGCTTTAAAAGGAAACTTTCCACTAAGAAGGGAGTATAAAATAACGCCTAGGGCCCAAATATCTGCCTTCATATAATTATGGGTTTGATGTGCTACAATCTCCGGTGCCATATAAGAAGGTGTCCCTCAGAAGACTCTTCCCTTGTAATCCTTGGTTGTCATTGTCGCGAATCCGAAGTCTATTATCTTCACATTCTTGCTTTTGTCAATTATGATATTTTCGAGTTTTAAGTCCCTATGTGCAATATTTGATCTGTGGAGGTAATCAACTCCTTCCAAAATCTTTCGAAAAATAGTTTTAGACTCAATCTCTGAAAACCTAGTTACAGCTTTAAGGTTCTTCAGTAGTGAAGTTCCCTTAGCCAGTTCCAATACAATATGGTGCTTATTATTATGCATGTATTCATCATGAAACGAAATCACTCATGGGTGGTTTAGCTTCTTTAAGATGTTTATTTCTTCTCTACCACTGCGAGATTTATTTGTTCTGGTCAAAAATCTTAATAGCCACTTGTTTATTATCACTGTTAATTGCTCTCCCAAGATAAACTGTAGCGTAAGATCCCTTCCCAAGGATCTCTAAGATAGTGTATTTAGTGACAGACTGAATTTTCCCTATTTTGAAAGGAGTCATCTAAACATTAGTGGTATGAAATAATACCTTTCTCTGCTTCTTTTCAACCTCTTCTAATTTCTTCTCGAGCTTTTGGGGCTTCTCCAATCCAGGAATGATCTTCTTTATATTTCCTTCATTCCCTTGGATAGTTATCTTACTTGTGACAGGATTAATCTCTCTTACTCCAGAAATCGTATTCTTGAGAAATTTCTGGGTAGGAATTTTCTTAGGTATAACCGGATCAGTTCTATCAGCAACATCAAATACATTCTTCCGATAACTATTTGGGATCCAGGAATTTTGAAACAGTAGATTCTCTGACTCAGTATACTTCACATGGTTCCTAAACCGATGGTTTGATAAGTTGTTCCCAGTCGAAGCAGTTGTACGCCTCACACTAGAATCCTTCTGAGCTGTTTGAGATCTGATCTTGGTAGCCTGAATAATCTTTGTTGTTCCAGGTCTTGAGTCACTATTTGTGCCATAACTCTGCTTCATCCATCCAGCTGAAGTTCTGTTAATGATTTTATGATTTGTGAATTCTATCCCAGTATGAGGCTTTTCGTGATCTAGGATTGATCAAACATACTCTCTGGCATTCCTCTTTGCTCTATTGATTCATTGTTTGGAAGTAGGGATTTTGGTAGCATTATTAGCAGTGCTAACCTTGTTGATACCCATAAAAATGATCTTATCTCTTCACTCACTACAATTCCTCTTGTTCTCTACTTCAAAAGCATTCATGGTCTTCTTAATGGTTTTCTGTAACCTCTGCCCTTGCTTGGTTGGTTTTGAAGACTCCTTTGAATGATCAGTTAAAACATCATCATCTATTAGAAGAACTTCATTTGTGTGAATTAGCCTTTTTCTCTACAAGTGTTAGTAACTTTCAATACTTCAGGAGTCTGATGGATGCCTATTAACTTATTTTGTTCTCTTTCATTTATCTTCACTTTATCTTTTCTTAAGGGATCAGATGAAAATTTTGATAATTTTGGAGAAAATCAAAGAAAAAAGTAACCGACTGAAGGCTGATGCTAAGAATAAATGACTTACTTTGTCCAGCAGTCATAATTCTGTTGGGATATAGCTCTGAATGTAAATATGCATCACTGTAATTCAGTGTTTCGATATTGTATTTCTTTTCAGACTCAACATGCTCTATAATTTATATTACTAACTGTTATCATTCTTTTAGTTAAAACTTTCCTAATGTACAATTTTTGAATTTTCTTGAATTAAAATACAAGATTTTATTACAAGGAAAATAAAATGATAAGACGAGCACTAGCTTATTACTTTTATTACTATCAAGCTTGGGTTGCATTTCCATTCTATCACCAGTATTAAATATTATTTTCAATTCGAAACATTATTGAAGGGGTTTTGGGGTTTTGGGGTTTTGGGGTTTTGGGGTTTTGGGG